TGTGTTTGTTTCTCAGCATCTTCTACAACCAGAGGACGTAGCCAAACACGAGGTGAGCTCTATCTCTGGGTTCAATTCAGCTCAAACTTCCATTAAACTGCTACTGTTTAGCAGGGGTCCTCAAACTTTTTAAACAGGGGGCCAGTTCACTGTCCCTCAGACGGAGGGCCGGACTATAGTTTTTTTAAAAAAAAAAAAAACTATGAACAAATTCCTATGCACACTGCACATATCTTATTTTGAAGTAAAAAAACAAAACAGGAACAAATACAATATTCGTATTTGCATGTGGCCCGCAGGCCATAGTTTGAGGACCCCTAGTCTAAATCATTCCTTTTAGAAATCTATTTAGCTAGTTTGCCCATATTCCTTCCAGTGATTAAAAGTTACTGCTATTTCGGTTTAGCATTACTGATCTTTTCATGCCTTAGCCAGGAGAAGATAGATGACAAATAAATGGCTGAATAGACAATAGGTTTTGTGTTTGCCATGAGAAAAGAGCCTTCACAAGGTTGGCAATCAAGTATCTCAGATTAGGTTGCATTCTATTTCTACTTATCTATAAGTCTATACTTCTACCTCTACATCTAGCTATCATCCATCAATGTGGTGGACCACATGCTGTTATTTAAAAAGTGAAATTTGGAGGAATTTGGCTCATTGTTTATTTTGAATTCACCATTGAGGAAAACCATTAGCATGTCTACACCTTCCCTCTCCTAGGCTCTAATTGGGAAGCTGCCAACTGCCTAAACCCTTCAAGAAACTGTCACCGTCCTTAGCGTGAAATATGAAACTTACTATGCAAATCGTATTCCAGGAAACATAAAATAATGATTATTTTAATATTGTACCTGGATGCACGAAATTTCACTATGCATTGTGAGGCAATAAAAAGTTAGTTTGAGGCAAGAAACATGACTATTTAAATTGAAATGTGTGTTCTATTTGCCAATTTAAATTATGTGTGTGTGATTTATTAATTTTCCTGCACCAATATTTCTCATTGAAAACTGTTGCATGAAGTGACCCATTAAGAGAAGACTTTTGTGGTTCTTACTTATAGATTCAAGACATAGATTCGCAGAGTTAAGAAGTCCTGCTGGAAGGCACCCCCTTAATCTCTCTAACCCAGTGCTGTTTCCACACATATTCTCTCATGGAACGTGGCTGTTTTAAGATATTTATTTTTCCACAAACCCCCTTCCATACAGTTTGGAAACTATGTGCGTTGGGGTGTGAAGTTGGTGTTATACCTAGAACTGCTTGCCAGGACTGGCTATCCACCCATGAAGCCAGCCCTGCTGTTTGCTACGTGTCTATACTCACTAGGATTAGTCACTTCTAGTGTAGCATAAGTACATTTCCTTAAGTTGTTTAATTTAAATAAATAAATGTATGTGACTGTAAATTTATTGTAATTCTTGGGATGATTATACGATTGAACAACATGTCATATATACTTCTGTATGTTTGCTTTACATACACACAGGTGTATATGCAAGTGCAGGCTATGTATCTAAAGCTCTATATACCAGATCAATAGATAATGAGGCAATTATTGGCTACCGAGATAAAAACACTTTACCATTACAATGTATTTCATAGTTTTGAGAGTACGGTAAATGTGATTTTTCTTCTGTTTGAATTAAAACATCTATAAAGCAAAAAGTGAAGATGCACTGACATGCATTAAGTGTGATAGCTTTCTGCTCATTGTGTAATCATTTATTTTCGGAATGACCGTGCCACAGTATGTGACTAAATATGAAATTAGCCCTTGTGCAGTAGGCTCAGAAGAGGGAATGCAAACACAGTGAAAACACTTTCCCTGGTGACTTAAACACACAGACACACAATAAACACATATCGTCTTGGCATGTACAGAACGATGTTTGAGGCATATCACCCCAGGACATGCTATTCTGATGTAGAACTAGCCGGTGTTTATGTGGCCTGAATTAACCTGATGGACCTTTTCCTTGAATTGTTCACTACTCTGTGCAACAACAAGACTTTTTTAAACGGGAGCAAAAAAATTGACTTAATTTTATAATGGAAAACATCTTTTAGGTTCTATCTATAACAATAAAAGCATAATATGCTAATTAGACCAGACAGCCTTACAGACATCCTTCTGGACGAAGCCAGGGCTGCGAGGAAAACCCAGGTCCTGGGTGCCAGAGGGAAGCCGGTGCCAGCAGCTGGGAAAAGGAAGGCCTACTCTTGCATGAATTTTGTGCATTGGGCCTCTAGTAATTAATAATGCTTCTTTGGTCTGAAGCCTCCTCTTGAAAGTTTCTGTGAACAATTTTTGACATTCTTAATGTTGCGACAGAAGACAGGGCATCTGAATGTCCATTCCTAGTTCGGAAGTCCGCATCAACATGGACAGAGAGAAACAATGAGAGGAGTCTTTGGAGGGACTTGAACCCTTTGGGTACACCTTACTATAGACTCTGCATGGAGTATTCAGTCTCATGGGACCTCACATTTCCATGTTGGGCGTGTTTTTACAGATGTCGGTCGTTTCCTTCCTGTAGAAACAGTATGTGGGGTGGTAGTCCATTTAACCAGCCTACCCTCCTCGAGTCAGCACGCACATGCAGCATCATTCTTACTGTGGTTTTATTTAATTTCCCTGCATTACTGAGTGGAAATGAGTTGTGCTGCTAGCAATGTTGCAGGCCTACATGATGCTCCCACATTGAGTCTCATGTCATCATGTGTGATGAACCAGTCTGCCTAGCGTACCTGTCAGTTGACGGAACCACACAGAGCAGGAGGAACGCAGAAGGACCCTCCATTGCTGGGAGGAACAAGAAACTCATTCTGACTTACAAAATGAATAAGCGTGACACGGAGGTCGCAGGATAAGGGCATCTATGCATCATCAAGACCTTGTGTTTTCCCCAGAAGGACATTTTAGCATTTTCTTTCTCCAGCTGGTTTCACCTTTCACCATTGGTTTCATCAGCCTCTTCCTCTCAGCCAAAGTAGGAGGTGGGTTCACGCCCAAAAAGAAATGCCTCAGGGCTGACTCTTGATTCTTTTCAGCTTCCCCTGATATGCCTCCTTTTTCAGCCAATTAAAAGATTATTAGGAAATGACCCTATGAAGGTATGAAAAAAAAATTAGGGCAAAATTATATTCATTTATGATGGAGTCTAAAATTTCTAAGAGAGATTATTTTTATCCAGTTCATTATGGGGGACAATTCATCATCAACTTCTTTAAAAACCAAGATGAGTTCTATGGTTACTTTGAAGATATATTAATGTGGCTTTATATGACTTCTGAAAGGTATTTTAGAATTCGTTGCTTCCATATCCATTTCCATCAACCGGCTTTGATTTCTTTGTGCAAAAATCTAGGCCAAGGCTCTTTGAGAACACAAAAAGAAAAAAGACAAAACTAAACAGATAATCAATAGAAGAACTCCCAACACTGAATTACTTTCAAAGTGAGCTACGCATGCATTTCCTATTAGGACAATGATGGCATCCATTCCACCCTGATCTTTTTCTCTTTATTTGGAGGATGAGAAAAGCCACCAAATTAAGGCTTAGCATTTATACAAAGAAAAAAAGTCATCATAGATGGTTTTCGATTTTATATCGGAACCTCCTTGCAAATAATGGTGGCAGAGTTCTTAGGTAAGAGGGTCAAGAATAGTAATGGGGCCTTTGTCGGTTTGGCTCAGTGGATAGAGCATCAATCAGCCTGTGGACTGAAGGATCCTGGGTTTGATTCTGGTCAAGGGCATTTACCTCCTCAGTTGCAGGCCCCATCCCCTGTCCTGGTCAGGGCACCGTGGGGGGCAACCATTGATGTGTCTCTCCCTCTCCCTTCCACTCTTCCTAAAAAATCAATGGAAAAATATCCTTGTGTCAGGATTAACAAAACAAACAAAACAAAAAAAAGAATAGCCATGGGTGTTAAGTCACATGGACGTTCATGTATAAACTCACAGAACATCTTGTTAACAGAAATCACACCGTGTGGGTCAGTCTCTTAACTCTGCTCTTGCTTGTTTCGCCAACAGAGCTACAGCGAACCTGTTGATGTGAAGACCTCTCAACCTCCTCAGCTGATCAGTTCCAAGCCGTCAGTGTTCCACGGGCCCAGCCAGGCCCACTCAGCTCTGTACCTAAGTTCCCACTATCACCAACAACCAGGAATGAGTCCTCACCTAACTGCCATGCACCCCAGTCTCCCCAGGAGCATAGCCCCCAAGCCGAATAACCAAATGCCAGTGACTGTGTCTATAGCAAACATGGCCGTGTCCCCCCCTCCTCCCCTCCAGATCAGCCCACCTCTTCACCAGCATCTCAACATGCAGCAGCACCAGCCACTCACCATGCAGCAGCCCCTTGGGAACCAGCTCCCCATGCAGGTCCAGTCTGCCTTACACTCACCCACCATGCAGCAGGTACGTGCTCGCGCTCTCGACTCCCCTTCAGAAATGCTGGGGGGAAGGCGGGGGGTGCAGTCTGTTCCTCCAGTCAAGGAGGAGGATATGTGTTTTCTATTTAAATGGAGAGAGAATTAATTGAAGATAGTCAACAAATATCTGCTTTCTGAAAAAGATAATTTACAGGTGGAGAGTATGGGCAGCATTAAACAATCACGATAATTGATAGCTGCTACTTTTCATAATCACTGGTTTCCTTTTCATGATGTCCATTTTGCTTCACCTTCTAATCGCCCTTGTTTTCTGCTTGAGTAAAGTACATTTGTTGTTTCGAGATGCCCACTGCTACTAAAGATCTCTTTGGGATTGAGACCTCTATACTGTGTTTTACAATATTGCTCAGATATAAGGAACTTATGGTAGGCATGCCTGCTGAGTCCAATAAATGCTGTAAAATGAAATCAGGCACACTGTTTATGGCCAGAAGTATCAATGGACACAACCTTAAAAGTCCTAAGAAATGAATGTTTTAACCAGTTTTATTTTAAAATGGATACCTGGCTGCTGCATACATTAGAAAATATAAGAGGTTTGGAAAGCTCCCTGCCCATGCCCCAATTATCGGAACCATTTGTGTGCAATCTTAACTTTTCTTTGAAATTAAGTTTTCCTTTGGGGTTTGGCTTTATTTTAAAATTTGAAAATGAGGAGCAAATGGTGTAAACTAAACTGGGCATAAAGCATTTAAAAATCATAAAAACTTGTTTTAAAATATAGGTCAAAGTAAAACCTACAAAGATATCAAATTTATCTCACTGTTATAAATTACTCTATTGTTTCCAGAGCCAGAGTTAAATATGCAAACATAGCCTTCCTATAGAATTGATATCTAGCCCAGCCAGTGTGGCTCAGTGGTTTGAACATCAAACTATGAATCAGGAGATCATGGTTTGATTCCCCGGTCAGGCACATACCCAGTAAGCGGCATGCAGGAGGCAGCTGATCAATGATTCTCTCTCATCATTGATGTTTCTATATCTCTCTCCCACTCCCTTCCTCTCTAAAATCAATAAAAATATAGTTTAAAAAAAAGAAAAAAAGAATTGATATGTAGGCCTTTATGGAATTTGAGTCTATAGTTGTATTGCTGGTGGAAATGGGGTCCCTTTATGGAGTCCCAAGAAAAGCATTTTTGGGGCCCTCGTATGGGAGGATAAGGTGTAGTGGTAAGGTTTATTGGGATAGAAATAAAAGACTGTTCCCAGGTTCCAGTGTCTTATTTCCATCCATCATGCTGTGGGAGAAGTCGAGTCTTGTCTTCATGAAGTCTAGAATTAGAAATTCTGTTAATGGTTCAGTCCATGTGAAAGTTGAGTTTAGTTTAGTCTCTGTTCCCATTTGGGTAGTTTAGTCTCTGTTGTTCGGCTGGCTCTGGTGTTGTGTTGTTGTACCCAGGCCTGCGTTTGGGTCCACGTGGCTGCCGGGCCTGCACTGGGAGCCCTGCTCTCAAAGTTCATGCTTCAGCTGGGGAGGCTGTTAGGCCCTCAACACTGTTAGAGAGAATGTGCGAGCAATGAATGTGTGTTATACAGAGAGAGAGACCTTTGTTACGTTTTGATTATATTATTTTGGGGTTTTTTTTTAAGTCAATCGATTTTTCTTTTCATGGGCTTGTGCTAGGCCCTTTTCCTAATGAATTTATTTTTTAGAACTTTTCAGGCTTGTGTTAGGCCCTCCCCTTACCCAGGTCAGTCTTCTTTTCAGATTAGGCATTTCCCCTTTTGGCTTCTATTATGCATGTGTTTCTTTTTTTCTGTGTCATTTTTGGCTTCTACTGGGCATGCACCTAGTAGAGGAATTTCTCATTGGACGATGAGAGGGTGGGGAGGAAGCAGAAAGAGGAATTAAATATAAGTACTCTCAAATTCATTTTTATTTTTGTATTTATAGACAGAATTTCTGAGAGCTGACAATAGCAAACCTTAATATATTCCCTTATCTTATCCTTAATTTCAGAACATTTATACTGTGGGTTCTGCTAGCATTATCTTCATTTTATAGGTGAGGAAACTCAGGTTGGCAGGGTTGAATAATGTGCCCATAGGTCAGAGCTGGAATTCACACTACAGTCTATTCAGACATCAGAACCTGGATTCTTAAATGCTAGACCCGCTGCCTCTCACTTTTAATCATTCTTATAGACTATGACCAGTGTTGCATTAGAAAATCTGTATCTTATTAGACTTTGGAGGGTCTTTAAATTCTAGTTAGTTCTAAGATTAACTTGGTTATGGAGAGCATAGCAAATGTCTTCCTTGGTCTCTAAGCCAAGGATATTGATAAAACTCTGACAACTTACCTAGCTATGCTCAGCAAACTAGTTGTTGGCTCACTAGGGAAGAAGACTCGGGAAAGCCGACTTCCACCACTTGCCTTGTCCACAGTGGTGTTTGTGGACAGCTGCTGGGGTCCAACCCCAGCAGGTCCAGGGGTCCCCAAAGGTGTGGACGGAGTCGGCGAAAAAGGAATGACACGGAGACAGCGTTCAGTTATCAGCAGCCTTGCCAGGTTCTCCAGCCAGGTTCTGTCTTTATTCTTCTTACATCTGTATTTATACCAGTTGATTTTAATCCTATCCATTCTATTCCAAAGGTTAGGGCATTTGTTATCTCCATTCCAAGGTCACTACTCTATTGTTCTGTTAAGCTACAAGGAAGTAACTGAAGGAGATTATCCTAAGTAAAGATTATGTAGCTTAAGCATGATTGTTTGTAGTTCACGGGGTTAAGAGGTTTTATTCCCTCCCTAACTTCAGGGGAAAATCCCTACCTGGGGAAACAACCTTTCTCGGAGAGGTGACCTTGGTTAAAACACATAGTGCCAAGAAGGTGAGCAAACATATTAAGAACAGTATGCCATATATGCCAGGTCCCTTGAAACAGCAAGGATGGACCGGCTCCCGGCAGACAGCAACTGATGCTCACAGGGTCAATTTCCAGTCTTTCCATGAGACACCATTTACAATAAAAGGGACCCTTCTGGGTGTGTCCTTGCATTTTTAAGGAACCAATAGTGTTTCTGTGAAGGATTAATAGTTTAAGAGACACAACCTTCCGTTGTGTGGGTTGAATCCTGCCTCAGGGGACGTGCTGGCAGCTTGGGGCTCCCTCTTTGCTCACAGTACTGTCCTACAGGCAGTTTCTTCTCAGAGAAAGAATATGGAAGTCACAATCCCCTCAACAAGTTGAGGACTAGAGCTCTATCCAGAAAGGATGCCTTTTTTCTAATTTATCCAATTAGAAATGGTTCCATATATATATATTTTTTTTCAATACCTTAGGTGATCTGGTCATGACCCTGACTAGTTTTCAACATTTCAGAATTACATAAGGCCACATGTGAAAATTCAAGAGATCTGAATAGGAAAAAATAGAACGAATCACATTGAGTAGGTTATTCATCAATCTTTAAGTCAGTTCTATTACTGCATCCCAAATCGTGTCCTTACCAAAATGGTAAGACCTGGTTTCAATTTACATTAGTAACAGAGGACAAAATGGCATGGACCCAATGTGGAGACTGGGAAACTAGTGACTAGCCTCACTTTTAACAATGCTTTGATCCTGATGGCTAGTCCATAAAATTATGTTGGACAAATGAGAGCATTTTTTAAAATGAATTCTAAACGTGTTTAAACATTAGAAGAAATCATAGGGTAGTTTACAGAACCTTATTTCCCTGGAAGTCTTTTTAATTTATTTTATTTTTTTCCCCTGGAAGTTTTTAAAACTTTTATTTATTCCAAAAAGATGAATAGAACCCCTAACGTGTGCCAGACACTGTGTAGGCTCTGGAAATTGAATGATCAGTGAGAACAGGTAAGGAGGCCTCTGCCCCCATGCAGCTCACATCAGAGGTGGATGGGTAGTGGGTGGTAATAAACAGATAAATTAGTAAAGTCTCATGGAAACAAATAATAGAGGAGGGCAAACTGCAGGGTGCATGTGGGGATGGCAGAGCCTCTGGCTGGAATGAAGAAGGAAGGTCCCCTCCAGGGCTGACACAGACACCTGACGATACTGGGAGGTAGGAAGGGTGTGGGAGGAATGCCAGGAGAACAGGAAGGAGAAGAGGTTCCAGACTGGAAGGACCACTCTGGGGAGGAGTGTGGCTGGTCCAGGACATGGAAAGATGGCCCATGGGAGCCCAGTGAATAAAGGGAGGCTGATGGGATTGAGATCAGATTCATGGGCAGGTCATCAGAGTACCGTCCTCCACATTAAAGGACAGGACTCCCCAACAAGTTGTTAATCCTAAAACCAGGATCCAAGAGTCCATTACCCCGTGATGCCCCTCAACTCATTACAATCACAACAGGGTACAGGGGCCAGTGTCCAAGGGTACAGGACCATCAAAGTTGGTCCTTCGCCTGTGGAATTAGAGCCAGTTTGTGGATGTAATTACACCTGTCCGATGCATCAACCAAAGCACCTTTATCCTAAAGATGTTTGCTTCCTAGGCATGGGGCCCGTGTTCACATATTCACGCATCAAAGAAAAAGAAAGAGAGAAAGTTAGAAAAAGCTACTGTATTTTTAAATAATAGCTCACATTTCAGTATTACTTTAGCTATTTTATTATCCTTTTGAAAACGAATGTATCCCACAGAATGATTGCATAGTCCACCAGGAATAATGGTTTCTTTTTTGTTTTCCTAGAGAAATATTTTATACACTAAACCCATAGGCCAGCTTGTTTTGGGCCAGTTTTCTTCCTTTTTTTCTATTCACTGTATTGTCGAATGAGGTCAAGAGAAAAAAAATCATTAATATCTGTCAACTTCCTTTATAACCTTAAGAAAATAATCTTTGTATGATATCACACAGACAGGTTTTCAATTTCCTTGTGTAATAAACAGCTTCTTTAGGATTTGGGTGTAATTTAAAGGTTTTAAAAAAAATCACATTGAGATTGATGAATAAATCAGTTGTGAAGACAAACACATTGATGCCTGGTGAAAATACCTCTCCAGACAGGCAGGAAATGAAATTAGTTCCCAGTAAAGTGTGGATATGAGGATCAGTGTTTGGTTGTGCTGCAGGCTCTGTAGGACTTGCTATGGTGGCACAACAAAACTGCTAGGGCTACAGAAATCTAATTAAAGAGCAAATGTCCCTTCTGACATCAAATTAATCTTTATCATGTTTCCTATTTTTATTTCAATCTGGCACCAGAAAATGAAATTTAAAATTCCAGGCATGCTACAAAACAGTTGGTGATTTTTCTCTTGAGCATTAAAATGCAAACTATTCAGTCTTGTTTAATTAGACTGCTAAGCCAACATTTTTCAAAAATTTATATCATCATTGTGGTTTCATATTTACATCAATAATAAAAATGTTCTTAGCTCTAAGTCTGACCTCAGCATCTCTGTATATAGTGTTCAGGAGAATGTTCCCTCTTTTTTTTTTTTTTTTTTTTTTTAATTTGGAAGCAAGTAAAATGATTCACTTCAGGTTTTGCTTGCATTTTTCTTGGCCCTCTCTTGTTTTCATATTAGGGATCTTAACTCTAAGCACTGAAGTTAGCTGACTTTTAAATCTTTGAACTTTGTAGATAGCACCTAATTTTGGTTTTGTTTTGTTTTATTTTATTTTTGTTGACTTTTAGAGAGAGGAAGGGAGGAAAAAAAGAGAGAGAGACATTGATTTTGTTGTTCCACCCATTTATGCCTCCACTGGTTGCTTCCTGTACATGCCCTGACCAGGGATCGAACTCACAACCTTGGCATATCAGGATAACACTCTAACCAACTGAGCTACCCAGCCAGGGCTAATTTGGGTTTTATAAACTGAAGCTACCCATTTAATTTTAAACTAATAACTTAAAAATTAATGTTCTCCATTTGTTTTCTTCCCAACCTTGAGAAACTATTTTCATTGGATTGGGGGGCTCGGGGGGGGGGAAAGCAATGGTGGTTTCTATTGTTGATTGTGCAGGGTTGGGTGGAAGTGGTTTGGTTTGTTTTTATTTATTTTTTCTTTTTTCATATGTTCCCATACTTTTAACTAATTCGAGATATTTTTCAACTACTCTGTTTTTGAGATCCATTTACTTTTAGGTTACATTTTGTTGATTGTGCTAAAATCCAAGATGGAGAATTTTACATTCAAAAGATAGAAAAGCCCTAGTATTTACTCATTTGTACTCCCCATGCCTTCCAACAGTAACTTCAAATATTCTGTGTTAAACTGTGTTCATTGGAAGACATTGTTTATTGAGCCACTACTATGGGGTACTCCTGTGAATATCCAGTGAGCAAGGCAAGCACTCTGACTCTCAAGTCCCTCTGGCCAGCTCCTAAGACAGGGGCTGAAATGGAAGTTAACAGGAGGCTATTCATTCTTAGAGCTTTTTGCTGCTGTTTGCCCAGCATCACACTAGACACTAGGAGAAAAATCAAGAAAGCTGGACAATGGCTCCATCAAGACAATAGTATAGGACCATAATGAAGTGAGTACACTTCGCAGAAGCCAGACAGATGGGAGAGTGTTCTGGAGAGAGAGGAAGGACCAGGGACCCACAGCCTGTACTACCTCTTACTTTTCATCTTGCTCTTTGGGGAAATGCTTATAGCTTGAGCTGCAAGTGGTGTCTACATAAACAAATGTATTTCCCATAAACCAGTTGTTAATTTAAGAAACATTCTATTCCCTTTAGTCTGTGTGAGGTCAAATAACCAGGCTGGCTGAATTCCCTACTTTTCGATGATTTGTTTCCAATTTTTCAAAGCTTTGTCTTTCATCCACAGCTTTGATGGGAGTTGGTGTCAACATTGGCTTGAAGTCTTTATCATTTAAACAGAAAACAAATTAGTATGTTAAAGCCAATATCAAGAATTGGGGACATTTGATGATAGGTGTTTTTGAGTAGAAGAGGGCATTGAATGTCCCAATGAACATTCATACGTGATTAAAGTCTAAGGACATATCTTTAGTTAGAAATTAATTCTCTGACCATTCTGCTGAGTTTAAAAAAAAAATGTAAAAACTCAACAAGATTATGCCTTTAAAAGCTCCCTGCAACTAAATGGAGAATGGTTCATTTTAAAATATCTTGATTTTTTTTCAGTGGTTAAAAACCATGTATGAAATCGGCCATAGAAAGAGACGACCACAAGATTAATTAAGTTGCTTTTTTGGTCATTTCCAGCAAAGCTTGCTTATGCTGCTCTTGAATTCACCAGATAAGCTAAAAATAAATTGTAGTGTATAATGCTTTTTATTTACCAGATATAAATATATTCTTCAGAGATTCCGTCCTTGAATTTTTAATAGCTTTGCAAGGATTAAAAGTCAATACTTCACCACACCAGTGTATTAAAAGAATCTTCCTGAAGTCTGATTATTGTGTGCCAGTTAATAGACTTTTCAATTAAAATTATTTGCTCTGTCTTACACTTTTCCTTCTCTGTGTTTTTCAATGGCAAGTTGTTTTGAATCTTCCCTATATTAGTCCAACAACTGTTAAAAAGCTTTGGTTGAAATTTTTTAGCTGAGAAAAAAAAAAGTACAAATAAAAGAAGAGGCAGATGGTCCCTTTGTGAATGAATGAAGAAAAAGGGTTTTGAGAACAATATATGAATAGGTGTAGTCTAATAAAACACTCAGCCACCTGCTGCCTGAATCCTTCAAAAAAGATTCTGTTGCATATTCTGGGAGTTAACTATTAATGTATCCTGCAGTTTGATAGAAAATATAAACTTTGAGAGGTTTGGGTCCCTTTCCTTTTGTGTAGATTGAATTGGGGCTTCTCTATATTTTAAATTGGGGTGTTTTTTTTAATTCAATTGATCTGCTCAAGAGTGTAATGAAAGGTTTTCTAACAAATGGTTAAATGAAGGAAAGATACGAATGAGGATGTAGGCATTTCTTTTCTGCCTTTGTTTTAAGTTTCCTGCGCCCCTTCAGATAAACTTGCCCTCGCAGAGACACAAGCGAGAAGGCCGTGATGTGTTTGCAAACAGTGGCTACATACTTGGGTGCATTTCTTCTTAAAAAGGCACTTCGATCCTTATTTGTGGACTGCTTTCCCTTTCAGGGATTTACTCTTCCACCGGACTATCAGACTATAATCAACCCTACATCCACAGCTGCACAAGTGGTCACCCAAGCAATGGAGTACGTGCGTTCTGGGTGCAGAAACCCTGCCGCCCAGCCCGTGGACTGGAATAACGACTACTGCAGTAGTGGGTAAGCGGCCGTTCACCGCCACCTGGTGGTGGGCAGCTCTCATTGCATGCCCAGCGTGCCCGGCTCCCTCGTCCATGCAAAGATCTATCTCTTCTTGCTGCTTTCTAAAAGATTATCTGGAATGGTACCCTCATTCCTGAAAGCAGAAGACACCGCTCCAGAAATGAGGAAGCACTCTAGTAGCCGTACTGAGAATAACTGCCTTTAGATCCCCGTGCCCTGGAGATGGAGATGGAGGTTAACTAATAGTGCACGTTCCTAGGACACACTTCCTCATTCTTCAAGCTATAGCAAATAGATAGGCGTACATGCCCCGAGGTCACCTGTAGCGAGATTACCTGTGTGTAACAAGACATTCTTTGTCTGTTTCCTCTTCATACAGGGGCATGCAGCGGGACAAAGCACTGTACCTTACCTGAAAATCTGAACGCCTCTTCTGTCCACTGAGGAATTCAGGGAAGTCTTCACCGTGGGTTGCTTTGTACAGTCAAGGCGATTCTCCATTTTATTAGAAAATACAAGTTGCTAAGCACTTAGGACCATTTGAGCTTGTGGGTCACCCACTCTGGAAGAAATAGTCATGCTTCTTTATTATTTTTTTAATCCTTTATGGACATTGTTTTTCTTCTTCCCTGAAGGAAATTTGGACCATTCAGATTTTATGTTGGTTTTTTGCTGTGAAGTGCTGCGCTATAGTAACTGCCTTAGCAACTGTAGATGTCTCGGATAAAAGTCCTGGATTTTCCATTGGTTTTCATAATGGGTGTTTATATGAAACTACTAAAGACTTTTTAAATGGCTTGATGTAGCAGTCATAGCAAGTTTGTAAATAGCATCTATGTCACACTCTCCTAGAGTATAAAATGTGAATGTTTTTGTAGCTAAATTGTAATTTGAAACTGGCTCATTCCAGTTTATTGATTTCACAATAGGGGTTAAATTGGCAAACATTCATATTTTTACTTCATTTTTAAAACAACTGACTAATAGTTCTATATTTTCAAAATATTTGAAAAAAAAACGTATTCCCAAATGATTTTAATTTAAAAACAAATTGGCTTTGTCTCATTGATCAGACAAAAAGAAACTAATGTTAAGGGAAGCGCAAACACATTTATTTTGTACTGCAGAAGAATTGCTTTTTGTATCACTTTTTGTGTAATGGTTAGTAAATGTCATTTAAGTCCTTTTATGTATAAAACTGCCAAATGCTTACCTGGTATTTTATTAGATGCAGAAACAGATTGGAAACAGCTAAATTATAACCTTTACATATGGCTCTGTATCATTGTTTCTCCATACTGTGTCTGTATTTAATCTTTTTTTATGGAACCTGTTGCGCCTATTTATGAAATAATAAATATAGGTGTTTGTAAGTAAATTTGTTAGTATTTGAAAGAGGTTTCTTTGATGTTTTAACTTTTGCTGGCAAAAAAAAAAAATTCACACTTGGTGTGAGTACTTTATTATTTAGTTTTTACGGTGACATGAATAAAGCCAAACCTACTTTTCATTTAGCAACAAATCAAAGTAACTAATCCTTATTTTTACATTGCGTTGGTTGATGCAAATGAAAAACTATGATATTTAAGAACTTTCTTTCTTCATACAATTTAACAGAGAAATTGCCCTACAAGTCACACAAGCTCCAAGACCAAAACGGACAGGTTCTCGACCTGAAAGGGTTGCTTCTTGGTTCTCAGCTGGTTATAGTCAATTCTGTAAAGTCCCTTCCTCCAAAAAAAAATTATAAAAATTAAAGTTGAATCAACCAAAATTCCTCAAGCTGCATGCTTTTCACAAAATCCAGGAAACCTTTAAGAATTGAGCCAGAGGTGAGAGGAAGGGAGGGAAAGCATACTGTCAAGAATATATCTGAAAATGAAAGGTGAGTAATCAAACAGAAAAAAAAAGGGGGGGGACATCAAATTTGAAAGATACCGGTAGAAATTGAGGTTCTAACCATCTTTTGTGTCTCTACAAGCTACTTGTCTTTCCAGAATTCCTGGGTCTTCCAATGGAATTCTGAGGGTACTAGCAATTTTCTAGGAAATCAAAAACATTGAGAATCTGGCTGAAGGTTTGCATAGCTTTTATATCAAAAAGAGCTAGCAAATTAATCCCTTATTGGGGATTGTATTTTTAAAAGCTAGTCTGGTTGGAAATAAGAGAATGGCTGATGTTTCTTTCATGAAATGTGTGAACTAAACTTAACGATTTAACTAAATACAAATATATGCATTGTGTAATCCAGTCAGAATTAAAAAGACAAAGGGTATGCTTGCTTTGGAATGATTTTAGGCATTGTACAACCTTGAATCACTTGAGCATGTAATAACTAATAAATAATGCAGATCCAGTGTGATTATTAAAATGACTGTAGCTGAGAGCTCTAATTTTGCTGTCTTGAGACTGTATAAGAACTCATGTGATTAAGTTCACAGTTTATTGTTTGTCTGTTTAGTATTTCAGAAATATACCAGCACCACTAATTACCTAATGTCTTTTATGTATTATATGATAAGAAAGTGGAGTTTTCGCTTGTAGTAAGTCTAAACAGAGTAGGTAATTACTGGGAGGAGAACAGCAAGCTTTGACTGTGACAGGAGGTTTGTACAGGAAAGTACAATGTTGTTTACACTTTACAGCGTTTCTAGAACAGGTGTGCAACCAGGGTAGAGAAAGTGTTCACACTCGATACCAAAAACAAAAACAAAGTACAAAACCAATGTAAATAAAAGAGAGTACATCATAAATAAAAATTCTTCCCATGTGTGACCGTAGTCTATCTGGACATCCATCAGCCTCTAAAGGACAGACCCAGTGGAGGAGAAATCGCAAATAAACTTGGTGGCAGAAGCCATCAGGCACAGCAAGGGTTCACGGGTTCCACGGCCACAGATGGTCGTTCCTGAAGCACAGTGTTCTCTCAGCAACCTGGTGCGGTGACGTGTTGCCTGAGAAATCCTCCACGTTAGAAAGGAAGCCAGCTTGTAGCTTGAAACTCAAAGGAATAGTGATGGGGTGCCCTGGAGTACTCTCTGCAGGACCCCTGCCCCTCAAATCAAGTCATTCTGGGAAATTTGGCAATAATACTGGATATAAATTATCTTTACCAACTCAACAAAACCAAAACTGTAACTCACTTGAAAGGAAGAAAGAAAACTATGTATGAGGGAGTTGAATTGTGTCTCTACCTTACACAAGAAAGAGGAATCCAAAAGCCCAAGGCCCATTCTAATGCGAATGAGCTGACAATGGAAAATTAGTCAATGACTTCTAGTTAACCAAGTCAGTGAACGTAGCTAAGGATAAAGGTTGGTCTCTGTGATAGTGTTCATCTTGTTGCCTTAAAGCAGTGGTTCTCAACCTTCCTAATGCCGCGACCCATTAATACAGTTCCTTATGTTGTGATGACCCCCAACCATGAAATTATTTTCGTTGCTACATCATAACTGTAATTTTGCTACTGTTATGAATCGTAATGTAAATATCTGATATGCAGGGTGTATTTTCATTGTTACAAATTGAACATAATTAAACCATAGAGATTAATGACAAAAACAATATGTAATTATATATGTGTTTCCCTATGGTCTTAGGCACCCCTGTGAAAGGATTGTTTGACCCCCAAAGGGGTTGCCTGTCTGAATGACGTGAGCGATCCATCAAAAGCCATGACTACAAAGAACAGTGTGTCCTGACTGGGATTCATTACTAAGAGATATTTTTAATTTATGAATTTAAAATTTAAAAATAACCCCATCAGCACCAATTTTCTTTTTTCATGGACCTCACGCCTTTTGCAAAAAAGTTGCCCCCGCCCCCCATTTGAAAGGTGATTAGATGGAGCCATATGAAATTGCCTGTATTTGTCTCTTGTGTGTATAAAGATGACAAAATCCTAGGAGAAAATAGTGGGGGAGGGAGGGAGTAATCAGTTATGGTTGCTGACAAGGTGCCCCACCTCAAATCAATCCAAACATTTACATAAAATCTAACAAAGAATATTTTAAATTACCAGATTCCAGTAAAACCCAGTAAACACTCTTATTTCTTTGTTATAGCAAAAAAAAAGAAATTCTATGGAAATTTGTAATAAATAGGTTCTCTGCTAGAACATGAAAGTTTGTTACACACAGATGTTCTCTTAATGTTCAGGGTTGAAGGGGGATTTGATCTGCATTTTCTTATTCCATTCATAATTCTCACTTTAAGGTAATGATAGAATCAGAGGAATTTACCTCTTTTGTTGATGATCGAACATGGAAATAGTGGTGAGGAGAAGTGCAGAATTCACATGATAAATTTTAACCCAAAATATATGTCATATACTGAGTCACCTAATGGGTGAATTCATGTGAGCCATCCAACAGTACAAACTCTTTGTTTCCCTAAAATAGAATAACTTCTGTACCTCAAAGCAATTTGAAATGTCATAGTACATAGCAGGTATACAATAAATGCGATGATATCTAGAAAGATCAATGACACCTCACAGATGATCCTCAATAGGAACAGTGTGCTGTTTCTTTGGTGATTTGAAAACCCTTTCAATAGAAAAAGGAATTAAATATTGCCGATGAGCATTAGGAGGTGAAGAAAAATGGAAATTTTCATTAAGAAATCTAAGCTTACAAAAAGATTTAAAAAAAGAATTTCAAAATGAGTTGTGCCCTATTTTTTCAGTCTACATAATTGAACACGGGTTTCGAGTTACAAAGTAGAAGATATAATGCCCACTAGTCACATCGAGAAAGTAAGAAGCAAAGGAGAGAATAGGTGCTAGACAAGTGGGAGGGTTGAGCGCAGGAGAGAGATTTCAGGAGGCGAGTTTATGGAATGCTAAATCCAACACTGACGAGCAGGGTGCCGACTTTTTATTTTATTTATTTTTTGTAATTGCCAAGTGTTCGCGTGACTTGGTGAAATGAAATAAAAGCACATTCCCTGGACTTTATCTAAATGACACCAGGATAAGAAGTAATGGCCCTGTTTTCTAAGATTCCCAAAGATTCCCCAGGTTTATTGGAACCAGATTCCAAAACAGAACAGAGAAGTTTCCAAATCCTTACACAAGACTTGCAGGAGGCAGGGGTAACTTGGGAACCAGCATTCACACCCTTCCCCACCCACGTGTGTACAGACATTAGACTGCCTTCTCATTTCTCACTCAGTCGACATCTCCAGAGCCAGGTGACATTGAAATTGGTAAGAAGTGAAGATGAAGTTCTGGTTCCAGACCAGCAGGGAGCTGAGAACAATGACGTGTCCTATTTCAGCGCTGGTCAGAGCTGTGTCTTATTAAAGGGACCTCCCCTCCCTCCCCACTGCCCCCCCCCCAACACTGTCACAATTTCACATTTTGTTAGCAGCTTGTTAGCAAAGACGTTTGAAAGTGAGATTTCATTCACACTGACATGAGACCAGAAAACAAACAAAAAAATGACTGGAAAATAAAATAGACTTACAATTCTATAGAAAAAGAAAAAAAAATTCTAAAGGAAGACTATGAACCGAAGTATAGTGTTTTAAGGGCTGCAGCGTCCCTGTATGACAATTGTGTGTTTACAATAAGCCTAAACATAATTGCTCTGATGGGCTGTCAGGGAAAAGATTAATTTGGCAAAGATTAGTATTGACTTGCTGTTTATTAAGGCTTTTAAACAGCTGTATCTGGCAGCATTCCTGTAAGTGCCTGTCATATCTGAAAATCAGCCTTACACCCCGGTGCTCGCCAGCTGTTACTAAACAATCTTCTACCACTTTGCATGCCTTTCTCCAGGCCAAACAGCAAGCGCAAACTATTGCCAAATGAGCCTTTTTCTCCTCCTGTCATTTTTTTTTTTTTTTTGAGTTGGGGGTAGGGAGCGTCTGAATGCTGAAATGTCAGCTCCTGGCCGATGGCTTAGCTGATAAGAGGTGCCGGAAGTCAGTGGGTGTTTGGGGTGCTAGATGAATACACTCCCCACACAGAGAATGGTAGTGCTGTTAGTCACTTCGCACAGACACAAAACCACAGCTTGCAACTGTTGTAAGGCGAAAGGTTTTCAAGACAGTTTAGAAAGCAGCGATCAAAGGTTTAGAGGCAGCACATTTCCAAAACAAATGTTTTGTTTCCCCAGCCGGGCACATGCCTTGCCGGCCACAGCGCTGGGAGAAGACCCCACCGGGAGATGCTGAGGAAAACTTCCTCGTGGCCAGGGATCTTGATCCTGCGAGCTGAGGTTTCTAGCAAGATGCTGGGAGAGGACAAACCCCTGGGGGTCAAACATGCACCTCCCATTTTGATTCAGTGGAAACCTGTAGAACAAGGCAGGTCTGGGTGTTTTGAAGTCTGTGAGAGAAAGGGCAGATTGAGTTTTGTACTGGAATAAGACCCAGTATTTTCAAACCTAAGTACAGTCATAAAGTCAATGGAAAGAATAACATTCCAGGGCAGTTAAACATTAAGCCATAAAGAGCCCCGTGTTATGGTGAAAGGCACAGGGATCTTTCCAATAGGGCTGCTTTCGCAAGGATTAATCTCAATCTTTTCCAGTTGCATCGGGCTGAATAAGTTGTTAGAGCAGATCTGAAGGAACAGTGGTCTCTTAACCCTTTCATCGCTGGCACTTTCCATTACCCTGTGGGGAGGAAGGGCGCGCGGGAGGGAGGGGAGGAAATTGGCCTAGGAGCTAAGCTTTCTGAATGATGATTTAAGCAGGTGTTTGTCAGTGTTTATTTCTCCCCACCCCCGCCCCTCCAACTAACATTTTT